AGGACACACAAACCCACTCTCTTCTTCATGTTTCCGAACACTGCATGAAATTGCTGTTGTGTTATGTTATGAACAGCCCCTTCTATAGCTGCACCACATACCAAATAAAAAGTAATTTAAGGACGTTAGATCTGGTGATCTTGGCGGCCAACGATTTCTTCTTCGTGGCATTATCATGTCATCGCCAACCACAGGCCTATCTTTAGAGGATGAAGCGGAGCTTCCTGATAAACATGCGGGTAGTTTTCGGAACTAACGTATCTACTAAGGTGAAACTAAACCTCATCCGAGAAATAACTTGCTGTCATTTCGTAGAGTTTCATTAAAGCAATTGCCATAATTTACACATTTTTCAAAGTCGAGACGATGAAGTTCTTGTAGCACGGTTTTTCTTTTTCCTGGTTATTTTCTGACAGGTTCCGTATGACAAAGCAGTCTGTTGGGATAGCTGTTACAGTAGCTGTTTTGTTCAAGACGAGCACGCACATCTTCCACTATCGCCTCGTTTGCAACTGTTGGGCGACCAGAGGATTTTCCACAAGCAATACTTCCTGTATCGTCAAATCGCTTAACTACACGAAGAATGTAAGTAAGTTCTCGTAATCAACGCCATGTTCAGGATACCTATGCCTCTCGAAATTTCTTCATGCACAGGCGAGTCTAATACGTCCAAACTCCGTTTCCGTCTTTTTTTCCATTACGGAAATAGGACCGAAAAATCAGCTTATTTTCTTTCAAAGTAAAAGGCTTGTCGCAGAATATTACAATCTAAAACGATAAATAATAAAGGCATATTATTATTATGGTCGGTGTTTCTTGTGAGAACTCAGGTCTAGCCTGGTTAACTAATCGCACGGATTAAAATCAAGTAACGATTAGTATCTGTGTCTGTGTCTGGTGCAGTGTTATGTAGGGTCCTTAAAAAAAAAAACACGTGCATTGGCAATCTAGGGATAGTATGTAATTCATACTTACCAACATAGCTATTGATTGGCACAATAGCCAACGCTATCAGGACAAAACAAAACAAAAAAAATATCATTATAATAATTCCTGTAATTTCATTAAATGGAGTTTATTGTGTAAGTGTTTCTTTGGCTTTGCGTTTGGGTTGAATACGAGTGGGTTGTGATAACGTGGTGTATTTCTGTGAAGAAAAATGAAGAATATTATTATTATTATTATTATTATTATTATTATTATTATTATTATTATTATTATTATTATTCTGGTCGGTGTATCTTGTGAGAACTCAGGTGTAGCCTGGTTAACTAATCGCACGGATTAAAATCAAGTAACGATTAGTGTCTGTGTCTGTGTCTGGTGAAGTTATGTAGCGTCCTAAAAAAAAACATAAATAAATAAATAAAATAAAAATAAAAAAAAATAAAAAATAAAAATTACTATTATTATTATTATTATTATAAAACATTAGTTTTTGATTTAAAATGTAATTTACTCACCTTGTAATTTCGTTACCAATTGGTAGCCTTGGCAAAGAGTTCTGTAAAACGAAAAGATAATGTAGACAAATTGTTGAAGAAATAAACTAAACAAGTATAGAAAACGAGCTCCTGGGTATCGCTATAGCATGTACAAAACCAAATTTTAAACCTGATTTAGGTTTGCTTTTATTTAAAGTGTATATGAATGAAATTTCATTTAATTGGCACTGCACATCATGCACAAAACCAAATTTTAAAACTGGCGTTACATTTGCTTTTATTCCAAATGACTATGTATCAAATTTCATTTAAATGCTTTCATAAATAAGAAAGTTTGCAATCCGGTTTGTAAATGGTCGAGATGCGAAAAGGGCACTGTGACTGTTGATCGATTAGGCTCAATTTTTGGAATTGCGTTTTATATGGCTAAAGCTATACGCATATTGAATTTCATGCAATTCGGTTCATAACTCACGGATATGTCAAAAGGGTCCTCCTTATTTTTTGGGCTACATTACCAATTAACGAACTCCAATCTACAAATTTGATAAAGAATCCACCTGCAAAATTTCATCGTAATCGGTCCATTCGTTTGTGAGTTATCGTGCTAACGGACGGACAGACACCGCAAAATTATAAACTCGCTGGGAGCTCGTTAATAAATGGATCAAACGAGAGGTAACAGAAGAATTAGATTCAGAGGTTATGTTTAGTATTGGTTCAGCATCACATGCGTTGTGACAAATGGTTACTAAAATCATGTTTCATATGAGCGGTAAAGCGGTAAACAAATTATTGTTCGTTCTAATGACAACTGTCATTCTTATTAAGAATGGGACGCGGAGCACAAAAGAAAATGAAACTCAAAACAGAAAACAATACTGTTTCTATGGAAACAACGGAAGAACCCAAGCTTGGTATTTTGACGTCTAAATTAAATTCAGAATTTTATAATGGCTTCTGCTATATAAAATAAAGTTTTGTATTATACACGACAATAAAGGGGAACTAACCATTTCGTTGTTAAAACATCTCTTCGTCGTTTGGTGTAATAAATAAACGTAGTTACTTGGTATCAAAGGAACGCAAGTCGTGCGGGGAATCAATATAGTCTAATGCACAAATATTTTTACGATAAGTTCAAAGACGTGTTTTCAAATATTTCTTTTTAAATGCATCTTGAAGTAAAAGCTATTTGATCAGAGGGCACATAAGTTTGTCTCATTTAATGTCATTTCCCATTTTCTCTAACTTAAGATAAAACAGAAGTTGAACCTTTAACCCATAAATTTTCTAACGAGAAGTTCAAAGTATAAAAGCTTGTATGCCTAAAGCGGCTCAAGCTTCACATTGTTATAAAGTTAAATGAATCGTTAAAAAAAATCTAAAATCAATATTGAAAATGTAAACGTGGACAGTTATTGCAAATTTACTGTACGTGGCCCGTGTTTGTGTTTGCACATGTACATATGAATCACTGAATTCCGTTCAAGCAAATAGAACAGTCAGGTACCGAGCACTTTGCATTGCTTACATTAAATTTTGATTTCATACCAGTTCAACTTATAGTATTGTAAATATTACCTACCTATGTGCCATATACATGTATATAGTAGGTAGAGAATCCTAACTGGAAGGCAAGTTTGTGAAGCAGGTTGGGACGTCATTTGCAAGCCAATTATTGGAACAAAGCTTGAAAGGATTTAATCTATCCATAAATTTGATAACTGCCTGAAATTTGTTAATTAATGTATATTCCCACCATTCGTAGGTTTTTCACAAATCATGAACTTGCTGAAATATTACATTTTGTTTGATTGTATTTGAATAAAATAATCGCGTGCAGAAATATTTATTATAACTAAAATTACATACAAATTACGGAAAACAAACATTATACCCTGGTGTCGAGCTCACAATTCAATTTCGCATGAAGGGAAATCGATATCATAAATTTATCAAATCAACAATACCATTTATGAAATGCATACATTTTGCATTATGGGTACGTACTACTTTCAAAATATTTGGCAGTAATATGTGTCAGACCATTTTATACACGATGATGATATCAGATTTTCAAGTGGACGAATTATTTCAAAATGGCGACTTTCAACTGTTTTATAAATGAAATGCCATCATTTTTTTATTATTGCAAAACCATTCTTTTTACGATAGTATTTCGTTTTTTTTTTTAAATTAAATTCTTTCCCTATCCAAAAGTAAACTAACAATTTAATCTAGTAGCGCTTGAATGTTTTACACTCGATGTTATTTTTGTCCAAATTGCAAGTAGCGTTATTGTTTATTTACTGTTTTTTTATGTCTATCGCTTTCCCAGATCCTTCAAGAACTAGAGAACAATGCTTTAACTCCAAGTTAAACTCGCTTTCAAGTAAATAGAGCTAAGCACAGTAAACAGGGCCAAGTACCAGAGACAATCACCAACAATTTGCGCAATTAGTCCCATGTGGAGCATTAATACTCAAGTATTTCACAGGTATGTCTTGAAAAGAAGCCGGAACATAAGAGGCCGACAGACAGACAGACAAATAGACAGACAGACAGACAAACCGACAGACTGACCGACAAATAGATCAACAGACATACCGACAGACAGGCCTTTCGGTCCATCCTGGAGGTTGAAGGACCTGAGAGGTCCACACCCACGACGGACGGACAAAGTGACCACAATAGCGCATTTTTCTATTTTTGTGGAAATGCACTAAAAATGCGCTATTGTGGCCACTTTGTCCGTCCGTCCGCTCTTTCGTTGAGACGCTACTAGTTCTTTATCTTAAGAGCTATTGTTCTACTTTTTTCGCTGTTTAGTTCGTTATGGTGTCGAGGCTTGCACCAACGAAGGAATTTTTTCTGCGTTTATTGCTAAAAAAGTTATTGTAAAAAAACCAAAAAAACCGTTTTTACATGTTTCCATACTTTTACACTTTTGCCGTTTATTAACACTCCTAGAGATCGTTTATAATTTTGTATTGCTGTCTGTCGTCTGTCTGTTGGTCTGTCCGTCAGTTCCTTTGTATGTCTATCTATCTGTCCATGTGAACGATAAATTTGTTTAGTAAATGTCCGATCGCTTTGACATCTCCGTTAGTTATGAACTGAATTGCATAGCTTTAGCCATATAATTCGCAATGCCAAAAGTTGAGTCGAATGAATTCAAAATTCACTGGTGCCCTTTTGCATCTCGGCCATTTATAAACCGAATTACAAACTTTTTTATTTATAAAAGTATTTGAATGAATTTTGATACATAGGCACTTGGAATAAATGAAAATCTAACGTTCGTTTCAAAATTTAGGTTAGAGCATGCGCAGTGTCAACTTTTTTATTTATGAAAGCATTGAAATGAAATTCTTCTTATAAACTGAAATTGAAGTAGCACCTCGAGTAGCACGTCAAAAATGGATTGCACATTTGCAACGCTATCTGTCATATTTGTGGCCGGAATTTTACGATTTTAACAGAAGTTGCAAATGTGAAATGAATGCAAGTGGAAATGCGCTTTTTGTAAATCGTTTACGATTACTTTTTAACTTCTTGGTGGGAATCCATGGTGGTAAAGCTCAAAACGGGGTCAGAAAGTAGACAGTTGAATAGGAATTTAACACACTAAACCTTCCCCATACTTCTTCATTAAAAAATTGTGAATAAAATCACATAGCGACTATAGTTTCGACCTAAGTCATTTTCAAGCTGTAGGAAAATTGTAACTAATAACGAGTAACAATCTTGAAATATACATACCTTAAAATTTAAAACATCAACAACAGAAAATAGGAAATTGAAAGTACAGAAGTTACATTTTTATCAGTATGCTGGAAAGAACATGTGTTAACCACTAGTTGAACATAATTAATACTTACAGGAAAAAATTTTTCCAATATAAAACAGTTGGTGTTAGGACATAGAAAAGTGGAACAAAATTAACATAGTCATGATATATCGACGATTAATTAATTAATTCATGCCATTAGAAAATGGACGCAGCCATCTTGTACAAATATAGTCAACGACTTAACTCGAAAGGTAACGAAAGGGGAAAGGTTAAAGAAGGAAATAAAAAGCGGGAAATTTAAAAAACAACAAGGTTAAACAGGGCCGGATTAGGTAACGGGACGAAGTGAGAAGAAAGGTGAAAGAATGCAACATAGCTTGCATTAGGCTATTGTTATTTAATTATACTAAAATTTTTTGGGGCCAAACTACCCAGTGCCTGCTGATGGCAGATGTCGGGGGGTTTTTTAACTTGAGGGCACACTTATCTTCCCGCGAGTCCCGACATCTGCCATCAGCAGGCACTGGGTAGTTTGGCCCCAAAAAATTTTAGTATAATTAAATAACAATAGCCTAATGCAAGCTATGTTGCATTCTTTCACCTTTCTTCTCACTTCGTCCCGTTACCTAATCCGGCCCTGTTTAACCTTGTTGTTTTTTAAATTTCCCGCTTTTTATTTCCTTCTTTAACCTTTCCCCTTTCGTTACCTTTCGAGTTAAGTCGTTGACTATATTTGTACAAGATGGCTGCGTCCATTTTCTAATGGCATGAATTAATTAATTAATCGTCGATATATCATGACTATGTTAATTTTGTTCCACTTTTCTATGTCCTAACACCAACTGTTTTATATTGAAAAAATTTTTTCCTGTAAGTATTAATTATGTTCAACTAGTGGTTAACACATGTTCTTTCCAGCATACTGATAAAAATGTAACTTCTGTACTTTCAATTTCCTATTTTCTGTTGTTGATGTTTTAAATTTCAAGGTATGTATATTTCAAGATTGTTACTCGTTATTAGTTACAATTTTCCTACAGCTTGAAAATGACTTAGGTCGAAACTATAGTCGCTATGTGATTTTATTCACAATTTTTTAATAAAGAAGTATGGGGAAGGTTTAGTGTGTTAAATTCCTATTCAACTGATTACTTTTTAATTTGTTCGGTGTTTAGTATCGTTGCATTAATGCACAGCGTGTTTCTTTCTCCGAGAACGTTCGATTCTTTTTCACACTGTTGTTCAGTTTTCAATTCAGTTTCGCTATCAACACTCGTTACACAATTATTGTCGACGTAAAAGCTGCGTAAAAATTTGGACACCACAGCCTGGTTAGATGATTCCTTATCGACAAACTTTTGTAATGGAATTTTATAACTGCTCCCAACAAAAAAGGACTGCTAGATACTCCGAAAACAACAAGTGCATGTCTCTATATTCAACTATTTCTGCAGCTCGCGGATCGGATCACCAAAGGAACTTTTAAATTATTTCGATCCCTTTTAGGGCAAAAATGCTGTCGATATTGCTCCAACAATTTTTTTTATGTCCAAATGCATTTTGGGAATCAATTCTATCAAATTCGGTTCGTTTCTTGGCATACGATTAACAAAATAGAGTTCTCAGTTTTCTCCGATGCATTGAATACCTACTGGTCGCAATGTAGTGATGCTATCTTCTTTTACTACGTGCCGATGCGCCAGATAATGCCCTTCTTGATTGAGACATTGTTTTGGAACAAGTTCAATAATCCCTTCTTTAGACTAACCTTGCAAAACGTTGTAATAGTCCAACAAGGGATTTTCCAATTGTAAGCGAAAATAATCTTTTCTCTGCATATCTTCTATTGGACGATAGCGGCAAATGATCTTTAGTCCAAGGGACTTCTACCTCATTACTAGCAGCCTTCTTCAATCAAGTTGGCAATATCACGATCTTGAATTAATAGAGAAACAACATTTAAAGTTATAACATTTCGTTCGGAAGTAGTTACAGTCAATTTTCCCCTAAACGTCCATCCCAATAAAGGCTCTAGTGCTACTAGCCCATTGTACTGCACAATCTACGCAGTCAACAAGCTACCAGCTATGTCAGCTCCTATGATGCTTAGAACAACATTGACACTTAAGCTGGACTTGGCACTGTATGGCCCCATTTCAAACAATTAAAACAGCTGTTCTTGTGTAGAGCTACCTTCTGGCGTTCATCCAAAGACATGGACCGAGCTTTTTCGCCGTTGACGCTAGAGTGGTTACCATCAAGAAGACACAAATCTTACCGTTCGGTTTAGTTATCCGAATCCCATTGCCATCGCCCATCGGAACAATATGTTGCCCTTTCTTCGATTTTTCTGCTTTACTCGCATTAATTTTCTCCGAGGATCTCTCGCTTTCATTCACCAAACCAAAACCATTTGCCGCTAGAGGGCGTACGATTCATGGTTAAGTAGAAAAATGACCTTTTTCCTAAAATTTACCCAACAATCATCGCAAAGTTGTATTAATTTTGCATCATTTTTATGCAGCACATATTGCTCTTGTCGCCCTCGAGAATATAAACATCACTTTTATGCCCTTAATGCATAAATAACTATTACAGTGTGGTTAAGTGCAAGAAAAGGTATATGGACAGTAATTAATGCTTAGATGAATGCAAATCTCATTGAAATATTCTCGTTCACATGAAATAAAACCACCATAAAGAACTTTCTTCTGGCTTATGTCAAGTTTTTGAGAACAATGTGAGGACGTCACGACGCGACGCGACGTGGCGGTAAAAATAGTTCTTCATTGATCGAAATTTTATTGTAAAATGAAAAAAATAATCCACCGCTTTATAGCGATATGTTACCCGCTTCACGTAAGTGCATTTTCTTCTACGCCTTTCCGGAAAGCAATCAATCGCTTACACATTAACCGATGCTAACCTAGACCTACTTTTTCGACGCGCCGGAGTTCGCATTAAGGTCAAAATAAAAATAAAAACTTCCGAAAGTTTGAGGCAGTCTATGATTAGTGATCGAAGCGGTGAGATTGTTAAGTAAATATAATGTTGCGACGTATAGATAATATCAAATGAGGTCATAGTTCAATTCATTAAATCACTTCAGGAATAAAACAAGCACGCTCATGCAATTCTTGCATTAGATTTACAAACTATACCTGATGAATAAAGCTACTAATGATTTTTTTCTCAAAACAAATTTCCTACATAAATCATAATTGTGAGTGCTGTCGGATTTTGTAGTAAAACTAATTGCCCCTTTTAGCGGGATTGGTGGTTGGCATGAATTAAAAGCATATCAATTATTTAATATTGCTCGAACTAAATGACCACATTACATTCTATTTTTAAAGCACTGGATCAAATTTTTCATCGTTTGAAAATCATAAAATAAACTATATAACTGAAATTTATTTCGCAATTTGTAAATTTCTTTTTGATTAAGTTGGCACCCTTAATCGAGACAACCGTCGCTCACTTTGCCAAAATCGTGCTCCAAGTCTTATTTTCTATGCCGATGTGCCGCTTTTGGTTTCGGAGAATAATTTTTGTTGAGTTAACGTACATTTTGCCCGGAAAAAAATAAATTCTAACTTTAAAATACCATTGATTAGAAGCCTTCACTATCCTGACTGTTTTCCACGGACTAGTAGAAATTACGGGAAATATTCATCCCATTTGAAACGTCCCGAACAAAAAAGTCAATACTTCCTCAACTTCTTTTCATTGATGTGCGAAATTTCAGCCATTTGAGAGCATGCGACAATTCTCCAAATTATCAGTCCAGTTATACATTTGTTACTTTGTTCATCAGTTATTGGAATCAGTTGTTGCATTGGGTGTAATTAGAATTACGCGTAAGGGAATGGAAATACCAGATCAATTTTCAGTATGGGGCGTTTCTTATTATCACCCAGAACTACCTGGGAATGTTGAGATATTCTGCTATTGTGTTTCCGGTACCCATTTAATTCTCCGCTTCGATCAACCCGGAAATTTAAACTCTAGTCGAATCATCGGTACAGGGATCATCTAATAATTAGTGGATTTGAAACATTCATTTCTCCACTTCTGATATTATCTTTATCGATCTGATAAATGATGGATATTACCTTTTAGTTTAGTTAAGAGTATTATAGTAAATCTTGTTCCGTTTAGGTACAAATCAATTCGAAGTGGGGACCACTCTTTTGGCACAGTCCGAGCACACAAACCGCCGTTTGAAATGTTGTCCTTACTTTTTCAAAAGCTTTCGAGTTGCTTTGCTCAAGGGAGTCCAGGAGGGAGTCATTGCTCAGATGAGTTATCATGAGTTCAGGAGTAGGTATTAAATTATAATTTTCCGCTCATATTACTTGGAGTCTTTGTGCTATTTACACTTTGCTAACAATGATCTTTTTGATTAATATAAGGTTATAGTTTTAACTAAAACAAGCATCTTAATAGAGATGGATGGATATAAAAATTGAAAAAAATTCTGCATCGACTGGGAATCGAACTCGGGCCGCCCGCGTGGCAGTTACCACACTACGGTTTGACGAACGACGACGACGGCTAACATCTTAATAGATAGAGATAAATAAAAGTTGGAGTAGAATTTAGATTTTAACAAAGGTACAAATATCGCATATAATAAAATAGTCGATGACGTCATATATCAAATTTGGAACACCCTGTATACAATTATTACATCAAAAAGAGCGCTTTTTAAATTGCTAATCGACGGATCCGTGCGTACTTCCTAACACACCTCTATTTCATTTTTATTGAATTTATCCGTTATTAGATCACAACCATGTAGTGTAGGTATACTCGACGTTGAGATAAAACGCCTAAATCTCCGTACAATCTGCGCATGCGAAAGAAACGTTAAAGTTCAAAGTTGCAATTTGTTATTAATTAAAATGTAGGTTAGGTTATTGTTTTCATCACAGGCTATTATAATGAATAAACATATTCGTAATGTACATTTAAACTCGCAGACTTTTGAGATTGTTATACCAAGAGCCATGTTTCGCTGCAGCAGTATAAAATCCGAAAAGGACAGTATAAGTAAGCCCCGCGTTCACAAATCGTAACCCAAGACATTTCAAATACCTACGAATCGCTCATAAACCGGACCGCTACTAGGGTGATAAAACTGGAACGCTCCTACTGGCATAAGTATACAAATTTGCTCTCCTACCGCTTCCAATAGGACAGTCCGGTTGTAGAACAACCGACACAAACAGGCCGTC